CAGTCTGTTATTCTTCTGTAATGTCAAGTCAGATTACTGTTACCCGAGTTTAGTACAATGCTTTTATGTGGTGAGGCCTCAAGCTTCAGTTCAATTATTTTCTAAATGTCTTATTCTTGTGGAACATAAGGGAACAGGAAGACAAACTAGAAGGTGGAAATCACTGGAATCATGTATCTGTTTTTGTCTGCAGGTAATGTTGAAGCCTCCAAGTCATGAACCATTATTTGGAAATAATGAAGAGGGTGGACCGCTTGATTTCACTGTTGTAGACATTCGTCTGCCCATGCTGGTCTATGTATCTCGTGAGAAGCGCCCAGGCTATGACCACAACAAGAAAGCTGGGGCTATGAATGCTCTTGTTCGTGCCTCTGCAATTATGTCAAATGGTCCGTTTATTCTCAACCTTGATTGTGACCACTACGTCTATAACTCGCAGGCCCTCCGAGAGGGCATGTGCTTTATGATGGATCGTGGGGGTGACCGCATTTGCTATGTCCAGTTTCCGCAGCGGTTTGAGGGCATTGATCCCTCTGACCGTTATGCGAACAACAACACTGTCTTTTTTGATGTCAACATGCGAGCCCTCGATGGTCTTCAAGGGCCAGTTTATGTTGGTACTGGCTGCCTATTTCGACGGATTGCTCTCTATGGCTTTGATCCTCCTCGATCCAAAGAACGCCATGGAAGTTGCTGCAGCTGCTGTTTTCCCCAAAAGCGCAAGACACACGCAGCCGTGGCATCTGAGGAGACTCGAGCTCTTCGCATGGGAGACTCTGACGATGATGAGATGGCCATCTCTACCTTTCCTAAGAAATTTGGAAACTCAACCTTTCTGATCGACTCCATTCCTATTGCTGAGCTCCAAGGCCGCCCTCTTGCTGATCATCCTGCTGTTAAAAATGGCCGTGCGCCTGGTCTCCTTACTGCTCCTCGTGACCTTCTTGATGCATCCACCGTAGCTGAAGCAATCAGTGCCATCTCATGCTGGTATGAGGATAAGACCGAGTGGGGACAGCGCGTTGGATGGATCTATGGGTCTGTCACTGAAGATGTTGTTACTGGCTACAGGATGCACAATAGAGGGTGGAAGTCAGTCTACTGTGTAACTAAACCTGATGCCTTCCGTGGGACTGCTCCAATTAACCTGACCGATCGGCTCCACCAAGTTCTCAGGTGGGCTACAGGCTCTGTCGAGATCTTCTTCTCCCGTAACAATGCATTGCTTGCAAGTCCAAGAATGAAGATTCTTCAGAGGATTGCGTATCTCAATGTCGGGATCTACCCATTTACCTCCATCTTCCTTATTGTCTACTGCTTCCTACCTGCACTTTCTCTCTTCACTGGGCAGTTCATTGTGCAGACCCTCAATGTGACCTTCCTCACGTACCTTCTCATCATCACATTAACATTATGCATGCTCGCTGTTCTTGAGATCAAGTGGTCTGGTATCGAACTTGAAGAATGGTGGCGAAATGAACAGTTCTGGTTAATTGGAGGAACCAGTGCTCATCTTGCTGCTGTGCTCCAGGGATTGCTGAAGGTGATTGCTGGGATTGAGATCTCATTCACCCTTACTTCAAAATCAGCAGGTGATGATGAGAATGATGAATTTGCTGATCTCTACATAGTGAAGTGGACCTCACTGATGATACCACCCATCACCATCATGATGGTGAATTTGATAGCAATAGCTGTTGGATTTAGCCGCACTATATATAGTACGATACCACAGTGGAGCAAGCTGTTGGGTGGGGTGTTCTTCAGCTTCTGGGTGTTGGCACATCTGTACCCATTCGCAAAAGGTCTAATGGGACGGAGAGGAAGGACGCCAACCATTGTTTTCGTGTGGTCTGGGCTCATTGCTATAACTATTTCACTGCTTTGGGTTGCAATCAATCCCCCATCTGGTAGTAACTCACAGATTGGTGGCTCCTTCACGTTCCCTTGATTCATTATAATGTTGCAGTCTTGAGGTATTGGCAAGATGGTTGTTGTGATGGTAAAACAGTTTTGGCATGTTGCTGGTTCTGCTCTGAGCTCTTTATAGGAATCCCAGAAGAGCAACCTCAGAAAGAGCAGCAGAATGCTAGTCAGTTCTACTCTAATTTTGGGGGAGTTTTTATTCACTTCTATAATTTTTTATTAATTTGGACATCTATGGTTCACAGGTGAGAAGGGGAGAGTCTGCATATGATGGGAGGTAATGTGTTGGGCATATCTGTTTGTACTTGGAAGATGTGATTTTGCAGCCATCTGCTTATTATCTTTCGTAATTATCAAATGTGGACTTTTAAGCAGTTTTTACTATGTAGGCATCATTTTAAAGCAATCTGTTAATGTATGTTCTTTGGAACTCTGGACTTGGCACTCGAGCACATGTTTGGTCGATATTGGCAAGTTAATTGATGATGATCACAATGCGACGAGCTAGTAGTAGCATGATACCTATTCTCATGCTTGAGTTCTACCTATTAATGATTTGGCAGATATAGAAGTACATGGCTCATGTAATTTGGTTAGAAATTGTTTAGAAGATGTAGCAAGTATCCTCTTCAATGATAGAGAACTCTCTGATAGATAACTTCATTTGAACCAGCAGAACTGGCATTTTGATTTCACTTAGGGTTTATAGTTATGCACCAGCAGCCTATGCACCCACATCACAGATTTCCTTCTTTCTTGTCTTAACAGTTTACTTTGCTGCCTCCTATGCATAACTTTCCACACATCTACTACTTTAGCTTGTTTTCTTTCTACCTGCTTTGTAGTTTTCTTTTCATCTGATTAGTAGTTGACAAAAAGAGAACCATTGGTGATAACATCTTTGAAAATTCAACACCCTGGTTTGCTAATTCATTATTTCAGCTTTGGATGATCTGGTTGAATGGACCTTACCATTTTTTAACCTGAATCTATTCTTCTTAGCATGATTTCACCATGGCAGATTGCATTTCATTTTTCAAAGTGACCTGTGGTTTAGGTGTAGTCATGATCCATCATGTATGTTGTTCATATAACCTAACTTGGCATGATCAAACAGCCCTGATGAATATAGCTTGATAATAACCAGATTTGTAATACCGCCTGGTATGATATGATATCAGTGGTATTATTGGTCTAACAGTCTATCAATATGTAAATATGGTGGTTTTTGTGTTCATAATCTTTTTTAAAGGATCTTTTTGAAACCCGGTATATCATATCAGTATATCGACACTTGATATATCGATACGGTCGAGTAGATACAACATACAAGACATTTATCGCATTCACATAGCCATTCTTATTTTTCTTTATTATGAATAGAGACATTAGAGATGTTCAAATCGGTTCGATTCGAACCGAATCAAAATTTTAATTTTGGTTCGGATCGGTTAAAGTAAGATAGTTCGAATCGAAACTGATTGGGAACTACTTAAACGAATCGATTCAAAACTGGTTAATCTAGTTCAGTTAATTTGATTATAATTTTAAGTAATTATATGTATATATTTAAATGAATTGATTCAATTCAATTGAATCGAACTGAAAATATTGATGCAATTGGATGATAATATAAGATTTGTGAAATTGATCTTATATCATTTGTAAAATTGAGTTTTTGGATTGGTTTAATTAATCGGTTTAGGATATTGAACTCAATCCTTTAAATCATAATCGATTTGATTTGGTTTAAACCAATTAATTAAATTAAAAATATTTTTTAAATCAGAATAGTTTATAATATTCAAAATTAAATTGGATTGATTCAAATCAAATCGGTTCGATCCGATCTTCGGATTCGATTTGAACAAAACAAGAAAGAGTTTTGAAGCTCTCTTTGTAGTGTGAAGACGCAACGGATTTCCAATAAAATCCTGTCTCGAGTGGCTCACTTTACAACGATGAGCTAATGATCCACCAACTCAATTAGAGAGGCTATCGATCGCATCGTCCCCACTGACTGATTGATGTGATCCGCCATGTTTGACTTTTATTCCCGGACGAGAACTTCAAGTAACACAGCGACGGGGTACGGAAATGCTCATTTTGACTTTTCTCATGAGTTGACCGATGGAAAGTAAAAGCTGCGACTGCTGGGATACGAAAGGAAGCCTTTCCTGTTCTACCCAGTTCTCGCCGAGGTTCTAATCCTCGTAGCTCCTCTGGTGTCACAATCTATCAATAATATTACGTTACAAAGGTTTAAGCAACACTAGAAAAATATATAGTATTTTATAAAAACATGATATTTATAATTTTTTCTACACTACATTACAGTGTTTTTATATTCCTTTTATAATATTTTTTTAGTATTATTAAAAATATTATAATATATAGATTGATTCACCCTAGAAAGATAAAAAGGTAGGTGACTAGAGGTATCCCAAGGATTAGGAAAAAAAAAAAAAGGATGCTGTCAAGAAATTCTTAAAAAAATTAAATTTTCTTGAGAGTTTGTATTATTTTTTAAGTATATATTTGTATAAAGAGATTCCAAGTATTATGAAGAGAGAAAGACAAGAGGTATTCCAAGCATTAGGAAAAAAGAAAAAAAGAGAGAATGTTATTAGGAAATTCTAAAATAAAAAAAAAACTTTCTTAAAAAAATTAATTTTCCTTGAGAGTTTGTTTTATATTTTTTTAAAGTATATATTTGTGTAAAAGAGATTTCAAATCATCAACATTTGATAAAATGAGGTCCAATACACTATGATAAATTTATTATGAGTTGAGTCAAAGGCATTTATGGACATCTCAAGGGTAATATAATAATACAGTCAAATAAGGTGAATGGGGCAGTTGATGGTGGTGGTAGTACTTTTGGGTGAGTTGGAAATCGAAGGATGGTGTGGGACCCTCTCTGAGACGCATCACATTCACACCCTGACCACGGTAGTAAATGATGGATGATCCGAGTAATAGTATATAGGATATTAACTACCCCATTGACTACCCAACGCAGCACCCGCTCATCATTGCGGACCCGACTGCTCTTTGTGCACGGATCCGCTGCTCCGACACGGAACACCAAGCAGCTCATTTTCCAGCTCGGTTCCCCGTCCCACCGCCTTTGATTTCCTTTCATCCTCCCCCGGGAGCTGTTTATGAACTAGATTTTCTTCCCAGGCTCGATTTCTAGGGCTTTGACCCGCAGTTTCCCTTCTCTATCAGCGGACAAGTTCAAGTTTTCGATCCAATTCGTCAGAAAGGTGGAGCTTTGTTCTGGGTCTGGTGCAACGATCCAGGGTTACCCTCTCCAACCAGGGCTTTTTCGGGTTTACAGTCGTGGATCCCTTTGGGCGGCGAAAAGGTGTGCTTTTGATACTGTTCTCCCCGTTTTCTTCCGCTTCCGAGACCTTTTGGTCTGGTCCACAGGCCGCTTTGTCCAAGAAAAGCCTCCAGATTCTTTGGCACGGCGTAAGGTTGTGTGTTTTCCGCCTACTCGAGGCTATCGCTGCGAAGTTTGCTCCTTGGAGCTTTCAAGATTGGATCTTGTGGGGGGGACTTGGTTGTGGTTCTTCATCCGGGCCGTGGTAAGAGTGACCAGCGGAAAGCGTTCGGCTTGATTGCTGTGATTGCTGAGCTTGGAGAAATGACGGACACTATGGATGCGAGTAGCTGGCAGGAGATGCTACGGAGGATATTGCCTCCAGGCACCCCCATACCGGAGGCACCGGCCAACCTCGACTACTCCATCGCCATCGAGTACGATGGCCCGCCGGTGTCGTACGAGCTTCCGAGGGTTGACCCGGTCGATTTGATCCCGACGGCTGAGACTGCCCCTGGTTCACATAGCTCGGTGAATGGCACCACTCCCCCCGTAGTCGATCCAATTCCTTTGCCTGTTTCTCGGATTGCTCGCTGTGCTGACCCCCCACCCCGAAGTTCCCAGACCTCAGGAAGCTCTGAGTCTGTAGATTCAGTCTTGCAGAACGAAGAATTCTCGGATGCCTCCCGCTCGGATTCTCCAGTGTCCACCCATAGCGTGCCGAATGGGCAGCCTAGCCAACCAGTGAACGAGGAAAGGAGGACGTCGGTGGTCACTTTTGAGGAGAAATCAGAAAGCAAGGAGCTTTACAGTGATTTGTCTGGTTCCACTCGAGATGTTGGTGTCACCAGGAGGGAAAAGAGGAAAAGAGTGTGTTATAGATGTGGCAAGAGGAAGTGGGAGAGCAAAGAAGTTTGTCTGGTCTGCGATGCCAGGTATTGCAGCTACTGTGTGCTCAGAGCCATGGGATCAATGCCAGAGGGGCGGAAGTGTGTTAGTTGCATTGGCCAGCCAATTGATGAGTCAAAGCGCTTGAGACTAGGAAAGAGTTCGAGGACATTGTCACGGCTTCTCAGTCCACTGGAGGTCAGACAAATCTTGAAAGCTGAGAAGGAATGTCCTGCAAACCAACTCCGCCCGAAACAGCTCATTGTGAATGGATTCCCACTTAGGCCAGAAGAGATGGCAGAGTTGCTCAGTTGCCCAATACCACCGCAAAAGTTGAAGCCTGGAAAATATTGGTACGACAAAGAATCAGGCCTCTGGGGAAAGGCAAGTGCATCAGCTTTTTCCGAACCCTGCCATCTTGCTTGTTAACACATGCTAATCTTTTGCCTATGCTTCTTCATTTTGCAGGAGGGGGAGAAACCCAATAGAATCATTAGTTCCAACTTGAATTTTACTGGGAAGCTTCATGCTGATGCAAGCAATGGGAATACTGAAGTTTATATTAATGGCAGAGAAATTACAAAAATTGAATTAAAGGTGCTTAAGGTAGAAACTGTTGCACTCAAAAGCCACCTTTTTGTTGTCAAGCAGCTACCTTCTAATACTTCTTTTTCCTTTTGAGTTAGTTTTCAGTTTAAGTTGTTTCTTTAGCGCTTTAGGGTCATCAGTGCATCCAGACTCGTCACTTTAGATATTTTGATCAGCAATAGCAGTTCAATGTGCAGTTCTACAGGAAAATTGTTGTAATTCATCTAATGAAAATATGCCTGAGGTGCCAGAAGAATTGAGAACTGATTCAAAGTTCCTCGCTTAATTCATGCTAAGAGCTACACAAAGAAAAGTAAAAAGTAGGAAAAGAGGACTCAGAAGTTAGTTAATCTTCATGTCCGTGATAGTTAAAAGTGATGCATGCTCCTTCATCCAAGTTTCTAACATTCAAATGTTTGCTTGCTTATACGGCCAGAAGAGATTTTTTTCCCCAATGTGCCCACGCACTGTTTCTTGCTCAGCATTGTGGACATCACTTTTAGTTTGACTTTGTATTCTAACACACAATGAACTTGCCATAGGATATGTAGGTCCTGTGCACCATGGTTCAAGTTCAACTTCTGTGGTGTGCATGGACCCTTACATTTTCATATCTTTATGTGATGTTCCAAAATCGTTGATTTGTTAAAGTTCATGCCGAGCTGTATTTTGGTACATCCTAGTTACTTCTTGTTGTCGTTTTTGTTGCATTCAGAGTTGTGCATTGAGCTTTGTAATGAAGAATTGAAGATATGTAACAGTATTTCCTGAGAGGATAGACACTAAAACATAAACATATATTTTAAAGCTACACCAAGTTTCACTGAATTTTTTCACTTTTATTTTGCCCTTCTGAATATTTGGTAGTTGTCTCAATCAAGGTATGCAATACCGTACCTTACCGGTGTTTCGAGGCTGGCTCGGTATGGTATGGTACCATACCGTGTACCGAGCGGCACACCTAATTTAGGTGTAAAACCCTCTGAAAATACCTGAAAATAAAAAAAAAGTTAGGATAGGATTTTTAAGTTAGAAATAAATATAGTAATAACATAAGTTTAGCAAAATCAATATAAATTAGGTAAGAATAGTATCACATATCTTTTTCAGGCTTTGAAGAATATCTTGTGCAAGGTTCGTATTTCAGTCAATCCCTTATGTAAACATACCTCTTGATTAGAAAGTTCTTCTTCATAATCTTCTCAAATTAGCCTCGATTCAATTCACAAATCGTTGTTTTGTAGAGTTTAGGAGAGCACAAATATGAGAAAAAAAGAGTTTGAGATAGTTTAAGAGAATATGAGAATGTAATGGAGTGAAATAGGGGAGAAGAATGGTTTAAATACTATGAGAAAGGGCTCCAACAGTCAATTTGACCGTTGGAGCACTGTATCACTGTTACCTAGCGGTTTTAAATATTTTTTTTTTTACTTTTACTGTAGCACTGTCGTACGTTCCGTCTGGTAACGGGCGGTCCACGTATCGGTATGTCGTCAGACCGGTACATACCGCCCGTACCGGGCGGTACGATTCGAAATTGCATACCTTGGTCTTAATAACTTTATGGTTTGTCCTCTGAAAATAACACCAAATACTGCAGTTATACAAGCAATTCCCAGTTAGTTCCAGTCATTGCCTGATGGAATCACATGGTATTCAATCATTTTCTTTTCACCTGGCTGAAACTATTTGTCCTTTCACTAATTAGGGTATTTTGGCTTCGTATTCTATTTTTTTCTCTACATCATTGGTCTGAATGAACTATTTTCTTGCATATTTACCAAGTCACTTATTGTAGCTTTGAGGGTGAGAAATTTAGAAAACAGGAATCAGACATTGACATATCAGTCCTTTTAATTGAATTGAAAACTTTCTTTTTTCATTTGTTTCCATGTCTCATTTGCTATCATTATTTGCAAAGCTTTTGTCATTCCCATCGTGGTTCTCCAATAATTCACTTTTTGAATGCATGCCAATTTTGCAGCTTGCTAATGTGCAATGTCCACGTGATACACATTTCTGGGTATACGATGATGGCCGTTATGAGGAGGAAGGTCAAAATAATATAAGGGGAAATATCTGGGAATCGGTGTGTATAATAATTTAAGATTCACTTTTTGTACAAATTTGACTGAATTTGTATTCTCTTATGTCACAACTGATATTTGGGATAATAGTCACCTTAATGTTGTGCTTGTGTTGTTGCCTGACAGACATTGACAAGATTGGCATGTTCTTTGTTTTCTTTACCTGTACCACATCCAGTTCCAAATGATCATAAAAATGTGGCTCCCTATGTAGCCAGACCTGTACCTGATTACCTTGAGCAGAGAATTCAAAAGCTTTTGCTACTTGGACCACAGGGGTCTGGCACAAGCACTATCTTTAAACAGGTATGATATATCAGCAAACTGTTCTAGTTGAACATTTAAGAGGATTGTGATTACTGATTGTCTGGATATCTTTTGATCTTATGCATAATCTTGATCCAAATAAGATCTGTAAAGATAATTAGCATCAATTATGTGCTATACTGGAATGCTACTATCCATACATTCATGCAGATCATGCTGTTAGCTCAAATGGTGTAGCAATTTGGCTGTCTATGTTTTAGGTTTTTAAAAGCTTAACTATATCAGATACTAAGGACCAGGGTTTTGAATACCGGTCCGTATCGGCGTACCGAGCTCTGCTCGATACAGTACGTACCGGTATATATTGTCGGTACGCTAGGGCGTACCGATGGTACACCCTAAAACCTTAAAAATACTTTCACCTACTATGTCAGGGCGTATCGATCGGTATGCCTCGGTAACGGTCGAATTCCAGGGCGGTACCGGTCGATACACCTCAGTACCGGTCAAAACATTGGCACTGCCCGGTAGAGGACCGTTCGCGTACCCGTATCCTCTTACGGGTGGTACACATTGAAATTGGGAACCCTGCTAAGGACTGTTACGTTTTTCATATATCAAATGTGTTCAAACTTTCTTCATAACGTACAATTTGTATGCCTGATTTTTGTGCAGATGTTGCTATTAGTTAAGTGGTGTAGCCATTGTATGTTTGATTTTGTCATTTATGATACATTGTTACTCTTCAAGTTTATGGAAATTTGTTGCTACATTGGTTCCTAAAAATGGCTTAATTATACCTGCCAAATCTGTTACTATATCTTTCTAGTTGAATATTTATCATTCTTGTTTGTATTTTTGCTTTTGTGACGGAGTTCTCTTTCTGCAAACAGTGGTCATTTGTCCCTTGTCTAGCGCGATTTTAGTTTGAGAAGAAGTTTAATTTTCTTTTCTATTTAATTTTGAGATTCATACGGAGCAGTTTACCTGTGATGCCATAGAAAATTTAGAAGCACCCTTTAGCTTTCTGATATTTCATCTCCCTCTCACTGTCCTACTTTCCCTTATTGGTCCTTTATTCATCCTCTTCTACACAATAGCTTTTCCTTTTCATTAATTTTAGATGTATTGTAAGTCAATTCATGGCATTGTGCTGTTCTTGCATTGATTTCAAGTGATGTAAATATGTCAGGAACTCTAGGGCATCTATTTTCAAAGCCAAAAATACTCCAAAAATATAATCGATTATTTATGAATATACTAAACCCGAAAGTTCCAGAGTCCATATATTGCTTAAAAAGAGAATTATCATGAAGTTCAGTCATCTGAACACATCTCTCGAGCTCACCATGAAGTTGATAGCCTGATGTAAGATGTTTATATCACTTTTCGATTTATGCTGCTTAGTCTGGACTTCCATTTGATGGCTCAGTGTTTCTGTTAGGCAAAATTTTTGTATAAAAACAAGTTCTCTTTGATTCATTGCGACCCATATTCTTTTGTGGTTCTTTTTTACATCATGAATACACCATTTAGACTGGACTTCTATTTGATGGCTTAATGTTTTGAACAGGCAAAGTTTTTGTATGGAAATAAGTTCTCTCAAGAAGAATTGGAGAATATCAAACTAATGATACAAAGCAATATGTACAAATATCTAAGTATTTTACTTGAGGGACGAGAACGCTTTGAGGAGGAGGCTTTAGCTAGGTTGGAAGGGACAGGTTCACACGATCAACATCCCAGTGAAGGTAACATGCATATAGGTTTCACTTTTCATTTGTCACAGACCACTGTCTAATTGTTGCTTGTGTATTAGTTGTTTGTTTTTTTTCATTTTTAATGACATGTGCAACACCTATATACATACACATATAAAGCACTAACATGTTTTCTATTTTGGCTGCCTTTGTGATACGCTAGAGGTCATTTGTTAATTGACAGCTTGACATGACATGCTTGTAGAAATCGTTTTCAGTAAACTAACAAAAAGAGGTGACATCTTGTCTTGCATCAGTTAATACAAGTTTAATTATATCGAATATGATATCCTCATAATACATGTAGTATGTGTAATTTCTTGTTTCTGTGTTAGTAGTTAGTGTGAATCAGTTGCATGACATTGTGAAATGGCTTTCTGGAATATGTTCAATTATTATAACCGGTATAATGTCATTTGTGTATATACTGGTCTTATACAGTGATTTAAAAAGCGGTAGGCGCCAAGGTCTAAAAACGCCCGAAGTGTTAGGCGCTCGCCCAGGCGCTCGCGCGAGCGAAACGAGGCGCTAAAATATAAAAATATATAATATAATTAATAAATATAATTATTTAAAATTTTAAATAAAAATATGCTATTAAATTAAGAAAATCTAAGATACAAAATCAAAATAATATATTATTAATCAAATAAATACGCATACTATTATTAGTATACTGTTAACAGCTACTCAAATCAGAGCAACCAGGCGTTGCCCGAGATTATAGTTTTGATTAAAGATTGGAAGGTGTAAGTTGTAGATGAGCTCTCGAAATGGAACTAGCGAACACAGAAGCATAGGATAGGATCTTATTGCAGGAAATTGATCATTTTAGTGCGTTGAAGCAACTTGACTCAACCTACTTAACTCCACTTTCTTACTTAGACACAAGCAATACAATCACTTCTCGAGTCGCCAACACCTTGATACCCCGACTTGAGACCCCCTAACCGTTAACAGTATGCAGAAGGAGAAGAAGGAAGAGGAGTGTAAGGGGGTGCTGACTGAGAAAAGAGGAAGCGGCAGCGGGGGTGTAAGGAGGCAGCGGTGAGCAGCGACAGCGGCAAGCAGCGGGAGCGGGAGCGGCAACGGCAGCGGCAACGAGCAGGGTTAGGGTTGGGCAGCGATAGCTGATATCGGTTTTAGTTGGTTCGATTGAACCAACTAAAGCACCAAGACTGAACCAGACCTAAAATCCTGGTTCGGTTGCCTGGTTTAACCCAGGCGCTCGGGCGAGCGCCCAGGCGGTGCCTCTTTGAAGCGCCCCGTCTGGAAGTGAAGCGAGGTGCTCGGGCCTCGCCTCGCCTAGGCGAGTGCCCGAGCGCCTTTTTAAATCACTGGTCGTATGTTTAAAGTGGTTCCTGGCATTATGCAATATAGGCAAGAATTTTCTCTTTTTGACTCCTTTTGAAGCTATGCAAATGACAGAGCATCCTTGTTAGAATTGAGCTTTCTTTTCTCTTATTTTGACTTGAATTTCCTTTGACTATTATCTTCTAAAAGCTAATCTGAACCCTAGGTGCCCTTCAAGTACACTAGTAGTTAAGACCAGGTTCTTTAAGGGGACCATCTAAAGGGTGGTCCAGTGGCTCCCACCAATGCGGGATCTAGAAAGAATCAATGCACTCTTTAAAGAGCACATATAGATCCTGAATCAAGTAGACAATGCTAAGGTCATTGTCTTTCGCTTATCTAAAGGATAAACCTATTGCAATTAACCTGTTTCTTAAGTTCTGATCCCGACTCTACCCATTAGAAATCATTTGTTTTATTCAAATTTTTAACATTTTAACGCTGTAGAAGGTAGTTGAATCACTATGAAGGAAGAACAATGATTAATTATTATTCATCCTACTAAATCATTGGATTGTGTCTCCAAAATCCTTGTATCTCTCGTCCCTAAACACAGCCTTAAGATTTGATTTAAGGGCTCCCATTAAATTGCAGAATTTGGGTAGGGTTAATATAAGCAGTCTTACCCCTGCAAGTAGAGACTATTTTCATGATACAAATTCTAGTTACTCTGCTCACAAGAAGTATCCTTACCATGATGCCAAGGCTAATCGTCCATATCCTTAAAATTTCATGCCAAAATAGTTACTTTGCACAATTTGTCATGCTTTGTATTTCCCAACATTGACTTTGGCCTACTTTTGTCATGTGTCTTTACATGTCCACCATCCATCAAGTGATTTTATTAAGAAAATCTTTGTGCAATTTGTGACACATTGTCTTGCATGCCTAAAATCATTTGGAAGGCTCGACATAGGCGGCCACTCAAATTTGTTTCCTCTTTGCACTTGTTTCTTTGTCTGTTTCGTTAATGCATGAGGTGCTTTACTTGGTTTTTGTTCACACTGACTATGATGTTGTATATCATTAGTGGATTCTCAAATTTGATTTGTCCTTGTCAGTCCTTTGCACATTATTCCTTTCTCTGGATGCTTGTGTTAGAGAAGCTATTTGAGTCTCATAAAATGATTGGAACAATTCATTTTGCAGGGGTTTCAGGCCAACATAAAAGTGAAGCTAGTCAGCCAAATCTCTGTATTTACTCGATTAATGGAAGGTTAAAGCAGTTTTCTGACTGGCTTTTAGACATTGTGGCCATGGGGGACTTGGATGCTTTTTTCCCTGCTGCAACACGTGAGTATGCTCCATTGGTTGATGAGATGTGGAGGGAGCCAGCCATACAGGAAACATATAAGAGAAGAAACGAGCTCCATTATCTTCCAGATATTGCTGGATACTTTTTGAGCAAGGTATTGATCTACAAAATTGTTAAGTTGCTTTCTTTAATCCTAAAATACATAGAATTTAGTATCAGTTTAGGTACAAAGTAATGCATCTGTCCTGTGATTCCTGTTTTATTATTTACAATATCAAATTGTTAATTTTAATTGATTGTTGTTCTAGTACTCCTAGGAAATAATGTCCTTTATCCATGATAGAATGACAGATTATCAGTTTTGCATTCTTGGGGTTAAAATTTTCTTTTATTCTCTGATATTTCTAGTTTCTTCAGACTTCAGAGCATTAGTGTTTAAAAAAAATTCCCCTCGTGCATATGAGATTACAGAAATAAAATATCGTTGAGTATTCACTTGGAGCCAACTCTTAGCTGTGATATTTCATCCTGAACTTTTTGCTGTTTTCTGAGTTACTTCAATCCTTGTCTATGATAACCTTCATCTTTAGTAATACTTCCATGCTTCTTCCAAACCATTTTTTTTAACGATCCATGGTTTTGTCTCAACAATTTTTGTGGATTTCATATTAGCTAAGATACTGGTAGTGATTTATCAAATTTCATGGAATAATTGGTCTTCCTAAGTGGAATGACTTTTTTCTTCTGGTATTCATGAGATCAAGTAAAGAATCTGAATGATCTTTATTTTCGAATGCCTATAGGCCTTTCTTAGTTCATTTTTTCTTTAACATTCATACCATATATAAATGATGTCATTGAATTGAATTCAAAAGTAGGCTTTTTATGTAATTCCTTGCCTTGTAGATTTATTATAACACTTCCTTCATAAACGCCAGCTTATGCCATTTGCTAATGTGGGGGGAAAGAGAGGGGTTATTGTTAATTTTCAACATGGGGGGTTGTATCCAAAAAACCTTAATCATATTTTCTCTGGTCTATGATAAAAGAACTTTTCACCATTTCTTTTCATCTCTGATATATTTTTATTATAACTACTTTTTAGTTTTCTATATGTCCATAATGGAAGTAGCTGAAACCTACCCTGAAACTGTTCAGAACTTCTGCTCTGGCTTCATTTAAAAGGAAACCTATAAATATTCTGCAACCATTTGTAAACAGTAGACTAGTAAAACCATGTCAAGTTCACAGTTGAGTCAATAAGACAAGTAGATAACTAAAATCTGATCTAAACAAAATTTTTGAAGTACTTTAAATGCTTGTACAAGCTGGGACTTCTTTGAGACTTGAATTTGTGACATTGTGCATGAAGACTCTTGGTCATGATTGTTTAAGATGTGATTTAGTGTATCACTTTGATTTGCCCATCTCCTTGAGCCGTTGTCAGTAATTACCTTTCGTGGTTGTTGCGCTTACAACTTGAGGAAAAAGAAATGTTTCCTTAAAGTTATACTTTTGTTTAAAAATACATGATCCAAGTGTTCTGCATTGCTTCTACAGAACCTAACCTGTAAAACAAAAATATGCTTTGGAGATAGCATGCAGTAGAAAGATGAGGTGAGACAGAGTTTTCTGTTCTTGTAATCAATGTTTTCTAGATTAAAAATGTTCTGACGTGAGTCAAAAGATAGCAAAGAAAAGGTAAGGTAGAATTGAACTCAAAATACAAATTTCCAAATTCTCTGGTATTTATTTTTAGTAAACTGGTTTTAATAGAACTGAAAACATTGTTTCCACATAACATCGATAAATTTATTTTGAGTCAACTTATTTTGAGAACTTTGCTAGGATTATAGTGTATATTAATGTCAATATTTTGTTGCAGGCAATTGAGGTGTCAAGCAATGAGTATGAACCTTCAGAGAAAGATATACTCTACGCAGAAGGAGTAACTCAAGGAAATGGGTTGGCTTGTATAGAGTTCTCACTTGATGACCACAGTCCAATGTCTGAACCCTATAATGACAATCATGATGCTTACTCCCAACCACTTACCAAGTAATTTCTCTATCATTTATTCTTGCTTCTATATTTATCTGCCCACTTAGGAGGAACCATACTTTATTTGACTGAACCATGGTTATAACCAGTAAATATTACTAAAAATAAGGTATTTACATAAATTGGGCATAACACAAACATAAACAAGTTAATAAAGAGAATTAAGCAAAAGGCATGCTTTGCCTCTGATTATTAATCTTTCTGACAATTAGTGATGTCATTAATTAGCAACATGCTGCTGGAATGGACAATAAATGATAAAAAGATGAGAAGCTTGGTTGCCACACTAGAAAATCACAGAACTGCGCCTGGCAAAACATATGCTTTATACAATCAACAAATGGATTATCTTGATATTCAATTCATATGTCCTCATATATTAGCAATCAGATCCCATATTCAAAATAGATCTCTGTCCTCAACACTTTCTGTTTAAAGGTCCTATCACTTGTGTAGTGCTAAAAATCTTGCATATTGTTGGTCTGTGTGTTATTGTTATTCGAGTCTGATCTTTTGCTTTCTTCTTCTTTTGTTTGTTTGTGTTTCTATATTGCAGTTTTCTTATCTTCGGCTCATGTTGTTCATCTTTTCTTTATCAGATACCAACTGATTAGAGTAAGCGTCAAGGGGATGAATGAGGGCTGCAAATGGGTGGAAATGTTTGAAGATGTCCGTCTGGTGATCTTCTGTGTTTCACTTGGTGACTATGACCAGTTGGCAGCTGATGTTAATGACAGTAGTAAACCTCTCCGGAATAAGATGATGCAGAGCAAGGAGTTATTCGAGGCGACAGTCAGGTGCTACTTCACTTTCTAAATAATTCTTATATCTGTTTCTTGAGATGTTATCTGGAATCTGCAGTTAAAAGCTAAGTCCCTATTGGTAAACGAATTGAGATGCTATCATTTCTTAGTGATTATAAATGCATATAAAGTTAAGGGTTTGATCAATGGAATTATTTTCTCCAAATTAGTTTCGAGAGTAAAAGTTAGGAGAATAGTGATGGCACCCCATAATTGTTATCATACAGAGTTCATAGTTATAATCATTACTTGCAGTCATGTTTGACTCTCAGGTTATTTTAACCAGGCAACCATGCTTCCAAGATACCCCATTTGTGCTCGTGCTCAACAAGTATGACTTATTTGAAGAGAAGATAAACCGTGTGCCTTTATCGGCCTGCGAGTGGCTCAATGAATTCTCCCCAGTGAAGACTAACCAGAACAGCCAGAGTCTAGCCCACCAGGCTTACTATTACATTGCCATGAAGTTTAAGGATCTCTACTTATCCATCACTAATCGGAAGTTGTTCGTTTGGCAAGCTCGGGCACGAGATCGTCCAACAGTGGACGAAGCCTTCAAGTACATGAGAGAGGTGCTTAAGTGGGCTAATGAGAGAGACGAGAATTGTATTGAGGACTCATTTTACAGCACCACAGAGATGAGTTCCTCACCATTTATCAGGCAGGAATGATCAAACTCAGAGCCTCCCAGCTTGAACTACTGTGTATATTATCAGTCTTGCAGCCATTTAGTCCTTGTGTTTCAGACACCTATGTATTTCTGAAGTCTATTCTTGATGATTAATCTTATTCTGCTTTGTTCTTCTTTGTAATACTAATGGATCTTTGGGTGATGAATCATGAACTGTAATAAAAATTTGTAGATCATTTGGTGAAGCACTTGAAACTTGAGGCCTACAAGTTAGAGAGCCTTGTCTTCTCCAAGCTTAAATTTGTGATATTGAGGGCAGGATGGATGAAACCCATGTGTCTTGTCTCTCTTCTTACAATAAGTATTCTAAAGCATTGTTATGCTCTGAATAATTTTCTTTTTGTCTTTAACATTTTAAAGAGCAAAATTTGGTCTTAAAAGAGCAAAATTGTATACATATGTCCCTCTGAAGTTATATCCTGTAAAACTTAGTTTAGCACTAATTAGAGTTTTAATTAACAGTCAAATTGACATTAATATCCTTTGAAAGTTTTATTATATTATGAATGTGGAAGGTTTTAAGAATTTTCTTTTATGTTTATTTTGTTAGACTCAAAGAAGCTATTGGTTTTGAATAGATGGCCCAAAAGTAGGCCTATTGCTAGCCCACTACTACCACGTGATCAGCACGTGCACAAAACCCCCGATCCCCTTCGCCGCGATATTTTACCGACGTCCTCGTCCTCTTCCCGACGGCCTCTCTCTCTCTCTCTCTCTCTCGCGCGCGCGCGGAAAACCTAACCATAGGCGATGGATTGCCTCAGGAGCCCTTTCCTATCCCCTTTCACTTCTCCTCCACAAAACCCGTTCGGTCTGCCGCCGCCCAGGCCCCGCTCCAAGCTTCTCAATTCCAATCCTCCCGTCCGCTCCTCCAATGCCTCTGACCCGTGGAGCCTCAGCGACGGAAACTCTGGCAGGCCCCGGCCCCGACCCTACCGCCGGAACCCACGAAAGCCCCTTTCCGACGACGACGCCCGCCGCATCATCCACGCCAAGGCCCAGTACCTCAGCCGCCTCCGCCGAAACCAGGGGAGCGGCGCCCAGACCCCCCGGTGGATCCGCCGCACACCGGAGCAGATGGCGCAGTTGATCGAGGACGACAGGGACGGGCACCTGTACGGGAAACACGTGGTAGCGGCGATTCGGAAGGTTCGGGCGCTGGGTGGGAGGCCGGAGGGGTCGTATGACATGAGGGAGGTTATGGCGTCGTTCGTGACGAGACTGAGCTTCCGGGAGATGTGTGTTGTGCTAAAGGAGCAGCGCGGGTGGCGGCAGGTCAGAGACTTCTTTGCCTGGATGAAGCTGCAGGTGGGTCGAAATGACTTCCTTTTCATCCTGTTGTCTGCCTTCTCCATGTTTGGTCGTATGTGTCGTCGTATTGCATGTTGGAATCATTTATGTTCTTTTTTTCCAGTAATCAATTTCTGTCTGCGTTGCATGCTTCGTTCTACACCGATTTTGAGTCATCTAGTTTGAATCATTGCATCTTAAAGAAAAGAAAAGGCTTGTTTCTGGGGAACCCTTCAGTAAGATGGTCATGGGGGTTGGCGGAAATCGATAGGTAGGTTGATTCCGTTTGAACTCTGAGAAATAGCAAACGAGTCAAACATATACATAAGTGTTTTGTCAATTAGACTGTTGCAGGTTAATTCACAGAGGTGTTAAATTACTAGTGATTTGTTCCAATTTTTTGTCCACCCTATTGCCATTTTATTAGGCAGATAGATGTAATTAGTTTGTTTCCCTTGGTTTTATTGTACTTGATGGCTCTCTCTAGGTGTGTAATTAACTCATGGTGATTATTTTGTATATTTTTGAATCTCTTTTTTCACAAATTGGGAGACCATAGAACAAGCCAGTCTATTATTGAAGAGATATACTGCTTGTCAGAAAGGCCTTAATCCTGGTATCTTGATTTCTTAAGTTCTAAGTTGGACAACTTCACCAGTTCTTTGTGTTCAGACTACTAAATTGATCCATGAATCTGTTATCTTATTGACAATTACAGAATTCTGACGAAGAAAACCAACATGTGGTTTTAAGATCTAGCCTTTATCACGCAAACTTGTTTTTTTTCGGTTTTAGGTGTAGAGTTTTACTTCATGGTTTGGTTAATAACACGAACCTCACATGTGCTGCAATAGTTCATTAAGATGCTTTTGTACGGTCCCATTATATAAAAGGTGCACTTTTAGTAAAAAGTTTGTTACATCAACTGGGATGTATTGTGCTCACACGTGTTTTTGAACAATGATCATTATTACTGTTGTTGCACATTGCAGCTGTGCTACAGACCTAGTGTTATTGTCTACACTATTGTTCTAAGAATATATGGCCAAGTTGGAAAGATCAAACTTGCTGAACAAATTTTCTTGGAGATGCTTGAAGCAGGTTGTGAACCAGATGAAGTTGCTTGTGGAACTATGCTTTGTGCATATGCTAGGTGGGGACGGCATAAAGACATGATGTTGTTTTATTCTGCTGTGCGTAGAAGGGATATTTTACCCTCTGTTGCAGTTTTTAATTTCATGATTTCATCCTTGCAAAAGCAGAAGCTGCATGAAAAGGTTATTCAGCTCTGGAAACAGATGTTGGATGATGCAGTAGAGCCTAATCGATTTACTTATACAATCATTATTAGTTCATATGCCAAGGAAGACCTGGTTGATGATGCTTTTGATGCATTTAGAAAAATGAAAAAATCTGGCTTCACTCCTGAGGAGGCTACATACAGCTTGCTTATTACTTTAAGTGTTAAACATGGTAAGGGAGATGATGCATTGCAACTTTATGAAGAGATGAAAGCTTTGGCGATCATTCCAAGTAACTACACTTTAGCTTCACTTTTGACGTTGCACTGCAAGAATGCCAATTACTCCAAAGCTTTGGCACTCTTTACAGAGATGGAAAGAAACAAAATTGTCCCTGATGAGGTTATATATGGAATTCTCATAAGGATATATGGAAAACTTGGACTATATGAGGATGCACTGAAAATGTTTGAAGAAATTGAAAAAATAGGTCTTCTTAATGATGAGAAGACATATGTGGCTATGGCTAATGTCCATCTTAATGTAGGAAATTATGAGGAAGCTGTAGGAATTATTGAACTTATGAGATCAAGAAATGTGGAGCTGTCAAATTTTGCATATAATGTTTTGCTTCGCTGTTATGTTGCCAAGGAAGATGTGGCTTCTGCTGAACTAACATTCCAGATGCTATCCAAAACGGGGCTTCCTGATGCAGGCTGCTGTAATGACTTGCTTAGACTTTATGCAAAATTGGGACTCTTCGAAAAGGCCAAAGTATTAATTTCACAGGTAAGGCACGATGAAATTAAGCTTGATGAAGGCCTATATAAGACCGTTTTGGAAGTGTATTGCAAAAAGGGGATGATAGATGATGCTGAAATTTTGATGGAGGAGATGGAAAATGTTGGCTTGGCCATAGATAAATTCACAAAGACATCATTAATGGCGATGTATGGTGCAGCTGGAGGGCTTCAGAAAGCAGAGAATCTGTTGAAGAACTTGGAGCAACCAGATGCTACAGCCTTCAGTGTAATGCTTTGCTTGTATCTGGAAAATGGTGACACTGAAAAGGCCAAAGAAATTCTGAAATCCTTGTGTCAGACAAATGGTGGTTTATCTACAGCAAGCCAGCTGATTAGCAAATATGCTAGGGAAGGCAAGCCACTTGTATAGCTGATATTATATTATTCTCCTTATCTGCACTTAACAGATTTCATATGACTCTTTAGTCCCTACTCAATACACATCCTGGAAATTTTAAGCAAAGATAATTCTTTTTTTCTTATTTATCAACAATGTCACAGTTTAAAAAATGCCCTCATTATTTAGCAGATATTAATGGTTGTTCTCTGTGCTGCAGGGAGTATAGTTGAAGTTGAAACCTTGTATAGGCAGATTTTGGATCTAGGATTTATACCTGAAGATTCAGTTGTTGCTTCTATGATTACTCTCTACGGTCGTTGCCACCAATTAAAACAAGCCCAAGAAGTATTTGCCTCCGTATCACACTCTTCAAAACCTGCAGAGGCTGCTTACAACTCAATGATAGGTGTTTGTTGCAAATGTGGAGATGTTGATGAAGCAATTCGGCTGTATAAAGAAATGATTAATCGAGCATACACTCAGGATGCTGTTACCATCAGCATACTTGTCAATACTTTAACTAAGAATGGTGTGTATTTGATGTTCTCTCTGCATATACATATCCTATTTTAAGCCAATACTACTAGCACAAGAAACAAAGTCACTAGGATACACTGCATATCTTAAACCATTAGGAAGAATACGGATACAGCTAATATCTCTTTAGTACTTTATTGGATTTAAACAAATTAAAGATAATAAATTTAGTATTCATATGACATTTACATGCTTAGTAGGTAAATCTGGATAAGTACATTAATATACCAAAATCAAAAATCAAAATTTACCACTAACTGGGGTCTTATCTTCATGAAATTATTCTTGTTGAGAATATAAGAACAATTTTCTCCTTGGGAGGCTGGTGGTTGTTGTAAGTGCCTGAGGAACACAGAGAATCAGAAGTATAATTGGATCGTTGTTTACTTTTCATAGCAGTAAGTGGTTGGACAAGTATGGATTTGGTTTTATCATGCATAATTGTGAAGAATTAGTTCAATTGTTCAATTTTTACAGTACTTTCCTCCTAATGGGTAGTTCCTTTGTTTATACATTTTAGGCTTCCACAAATAACTTGTTATATTTTTAGCCACAAATAAATCGTCATTTACCTTCTCTATTTTTTTCAGGAAAATATATGGAAGCAGAAAGAATAATTTATGACAGTTTTAATTCTAATATGGAGCTCGATACTGTAGCCTACAACACTTATATCAAGTCAATGCTAGAAGCAGGTTAGGAATTATCCTCCAAAAATGCCCATTATTTGAGTGGAACTAACTGAAAAACTAACAAGATAAATGCAGGTAAATTACACTCTGCTGTCAGCATATATGATCATATGATTTCATCTGGTGTACCTCCATCCCTTCAGACATACAACACTATGATAAGGTAGAGTCCATGTTCAAAAGAGGTGGAATTTTGCTTGGGATAATTGTCTCACTATCTGTCAATATCTGCTTATTTTTTTATGTAAATGATGCTTTTTTCATATCAAATAATGCAGTGTACATGGTCAACGGGGGAAGTTGGAGAAAGCTATTGAGATGTTCAATACTGCACAAGGTTTGGGTTTGTCAATAGATGAAAAGGCATATACCAACATGATTAGTTACTATGGAAAAGCTGGTATGACATTCATCCTTTAGTCATAACAACTGTTACTGCATATCATTTTCATTTGATATTTTCGACCACTTAATGCATCATAGGTTCATCTTACTGTTTAGGTTGTCCAACCACAGCATGAAAAATCGAGCCTGAGATGTAGTTTTGCCTAGAAATCAGCTAACTGGTACATGCTATTGGCCCTGCAGGTAGGACTGAAAAGGCGTCTCTACTCTTTAGTAAAATGATGGAAGTTGGAATACTACCTGGAAGGGTATGCATTTAAGCTAACAAATACTGTAGTATGTTTTGACAGCTAGTCTTATCTTTCTTGAGATCTTGATTTTGAATTTGGCATGCATGGTTTTCAGATATTATTGTTACGGGTTATTTGACCAATGAGCAAATGCATAAAATTATCCTTAAATTCTTAAGATGTTTTATAGAAAATTGATTTGCAGCTTAATACAAATTAATATTGCTTGTCTGTTGATGTGATGGACACATTTTCTGCTAATGAATGTTTAGTATTTTCTATGCTTGTTAGTTGCTACTTCTTGACATTGCTGGTTTATGAGGTTCACTTGGTACAGATGCATTAAGATTATTTATATTAATATAATAGAAAAGCTTTTGGTTCAGTTACAAAACTAGGACAGAATATCGGGGCTGGTTTTCCTGACATTGTCATTCTGAACTGCCTAAATTAAGTTCTCTCAAAAGTGTTCGTGGTGCTATTAGCTTATTTTGGCGACTCACTGGAGATGAATCGAGACAAAAGAAGTGTGCAATTTGTAAAATGATGCTTGTGCCTAGGAGTCAGATACTAAATTGTACCAACTGTTTTAAGCAATATTCACTAGTCTAATTAAGTGCTGGTGTATGGTTTACATACTACACTGAATCAATACTCAGTGAAGATGATTCAAGACAAAAGCAGTCTGCAACTTGTAAAAAGATGCTTGTCCCATGGAATCAGATACCAAATTGTACCAACTGTTTTAAGTATTTACTAGTCCTGGCTTTACATGCTTTATTAAATCAATACTGACATGGCATACCAGTCCAATAGTTCAATGATATTCATAATAACCAGTGTCTAAGTCAATTGGTTTGTCACTTGTACATTTGTTGGCTATTTCATTGTTGTGATGTTGTAGATTTTTTCATATAGGGACATATTTGCATATTTTATAAACTTCTACCTTTCGTTTGCTGTACTTACTAGTATAGAACAAAGTTGCACTGCTAACACCCCTAGGTTAGTATTACATTAGATGTGGGATGGGAATTAAGAATTGGTTTATAGACCTAAGATATGTCTACTTTCATTGGCTTAGCTTTAATTGTTTGGCTCATTAATTAGTCAGTTCTTTCATTGGGTCAGATTGTGATATATGGTATTAGAGCATATCTAGTATTGGGCGTGTATGAGGTTTTGATTCTAAGCTATGAGCATGAAATGGGCTTTGACGAGGATGTTAATCCTTAAGGTTGGGGGAGATTGTGACAGTTTATTGTAGGCCCACATCAGACATGGGAGGAAAATTGAGCTTGTTTGCTAACATTAAGATGAGAATAAGTATTTTGAGCTATTGGTTCAAGTCTATCAAGTTTATAGGTTAGTTATCCCATTGGATTGGACCGTGACAGCATACCTTGTTGCTAGAAGTTGACATGGTAACACATGTCAAGCAGGCTACCTTTCTTTTTTCCCAGGTTTCTGCTTAAAGGAAGGAGTGCACGCATATCCAATTAACTTAACATACTCTGATAACATTGATTATTGGCTTTAGATATCGATGTATGTTTTTGTGCACTCATATTAGTGTGATAAAAGCTGCATGACATGTATATGAATGTATCACTTTTCTGGGTTTATGGCATCTCTTGAAAATTCCACAATTTGATTGTTAGGGTTGACTTTGGTTTATTGATCATGTATTGTCGAGAAATTGATATTTTCCTTTTTGGCACAGAAAATTATCTTTCTTACTAAGAAGCAAGAATGCGTCTCCACATTTATAACCAATGCTTAAACATTTTTCTGTTTTGTTTGATACAGTGTTTGTTGTTGTCATTTATGTACTTGCAGATCAGTTACAACACGATGATTAATGTTTATGCCACGTCCGGACTTCATCGTGAAGCAGAGGATCTTTTCCAAGACATGCAAAGAATCGGACATTTTCCAGATTCCCATACATATCTTGCACTAGTTAGAGCTTTTACAGAAAGCAAGAAATATTCAGAGGCAGAGAAAACTATTCGCAGAATGATAGGTGACGGAATCGCTCCCTCATCTGCTCATTTCAACCATTTAATCTTTGCCTTCACCAAGGAAGGATTCATTTTTGAGGCAGAAAGAGTCATTAGAGAAATGAGAGAAACAGGCTTGGATCCTGATCTAGCATGCTGTAGAACTATGATGCGAGCATACATGGACTATGGGCTTGTCGAGAAAGGTCTTTCGTTCTTTGAAACCATTAATAAGTTCCTAAAGCCTGATGGGTTTATATTAAGTGCTGCTGCCCATCTTTATGAGTTTGCTGGCAAAGAATCTGAGGCTGGGGACATTCTAGATGCAATAAATCTAAATGGACTCTTGTTTCTGAGAAACCTGAGAGTGGGGTCAAAGGTTCAAGCTTAATGCATTACCTGATGATGCTATGGAGGCTGATCAAGAGGTGGGGATTAAACCTCTCTCGAAGCCGCCGAAGAGAAAATATACAGTCAGCGGTGACAGCAGTGTCCATGAAATGTTGTCATGGTGAATTAGCGGTGAAAAAGATCACAACAAGATGGAGTGATGGGTTAATATGATATCTAAGATTGCACACAGTGACATCATTTACTGGATTCTGCATTTGTGGATTGCTATTGACAGGATACAAGAGATCCTTCTGGCCAGGTCACCCCATAAAGAAGTGTTTCCAAAGCAGTGCTCGTCTTTTTTGTTGAGGATGTCGAACCGCAGGCACTATGCAAACTTCAGAATTCCTCCCGCTGATGCAGATCAACTCCAACCACATTTGGTGAGAACAGATGATTGGTGAAAGAAATATATTAACAAGAACAACAAATGGAAATGTTTTGAAAGAATTATTTGACTTGTATGCTTGGAAAATCAAGTTGAAACGCAGGTAGGTTCGAAGAAATACCATGACGTTCAGTATCATGTTGATCTTTAACTTTTCGGATGTACCATTAACTGGCATAGATTTGCAATGCAACGCTCTGTCAGGGCACTCGTAAACGGACTCCAAAAGAGAGAATTTTTGTGCAGATGGAGGATGTTTTTCTTCTAATTTTCTTTTCGAGGATTTGCTGACCTTTTGTGTTTCAGGATCTGCATGTTTGCAGAATGCCGAGTCGTGATCACCTTTCCTCAGTGGCTCATCCATCACCCTGGTCCAGACAAGTTCGTTGTTTCTTGTTTGTGAATACTTAAGCTTCTATAATATATGATGTGATCAATGAAGCGAAGCCATTAATCTGCTCAAGTTTGAGATCAACGCCTTCGAATTCCATCTCACTTCATGCAAGAATTACTGCATTTGAGTTTACAACCACTGTTTGTTACATCAGAAAACATTCCAGAGACGCAACATCTTTTCAACAAAACATAATGAATGATAGGGAGGGATACTATGAGCACTAGAAACGAGAGAAATATTAGTGTCGCCACAGAAGAACACAAACACAAACCTACTTTCGCACGGCAAATCATCCTCCGAGAATGCGTCTGATGGCTGCACGCTGCTCCGGTGCCAATCTCGAAGGGAACTTGACATCAAACTTGATCACCAGATTCCCCTTCTTCCGGGGCTCTCTTGCGACCGGCATCCCTTCGCTTTGGATCACCAGCTCATAGCTAGGCTTCACCACGTCAGTCATCTCGATCACCAAGTCGCGCCCGTCGAGGGTCTTGAGGTTGATCCTGGTCCCTGTTAGTGCATCCACCAGCGAGATCTTGTGGTGGACGACGAGGTCATTGCCATCCCTCTTGTAAACATCATGAGGCTTCTCGTCGATCACAATGACTACATCTGCAGCGAGTCTGTCGTTCCCCTTGTTTGGAAACGTTATCTTGGTTCCCCTCTTCCACCCTGGTTTCACTTCGACCGTCAACACCTCGTTCTCTGGGACCGTACGTCTGCGTTGTACCGACAGGAAGAAGAGTCAGTAAACTTGCATGTAATGTTATGAACTTGCACAAGTTATTTCTAGATCTGCAGCCAAACGAACAACTCAAACAGAGAGACAATAGATCCTACTATTCATATCATAGCAGACGACGACATCTATGAAGACTGGAATTGGCAGCGAAGAATAAGGTTCGATTACAATGCTAGCTAGCTAGGTAGTTTATTCCATTTGGAAGAAGCTTATACCCGTTAGGTTGCATGACATTTCTAGAGATGTTCATCTTCTTCTCTGTGCCATGGTAGAGCTCCTCGAGGCTGCACGCCAGCTTTCTCTCCACGGCAGGTGCTTTCCATGGCCGGGCAGCGGGAGCAGCAGAGCCACTACCATCTGCTTGAAACCTCGTAGACTTTGCACGGTTCATGGACTCGAAACCAAAAGGATTAGTGCTTCCAAAGATTTCGGTAAATATGTCCTCGGCATCTCGAGGCACGCCCTTCGGCTCCTCCTCTTCTCCGTGTTGATCGTATATTGCCCGTCTTTGAGGATCACTTAGTACCTGAACCAAACAGTCTTGAAAGGTAAGAACATTCCCAGCTTGATCTCTATTTCTTGTTGATGGAATCATCTTCATGAGGCATCGTAAACAATATACAGAGTTACTCCTCTCTCTCACACAGGGAAAAAGGTCAGCTTTCCCAAAATTTCACAGTCAGCCGTCAGGATTCTGACTTTGGACAGAAAAATGCTCTACGAGAGCATGTCGAAGCTGGGAGGAAGCTCAAATTGCCTCTGAGAGGATTACACTAATGCAGAAGACATCTTTATCGAATTTATATCTTAAACCAAATGAGTCGCCTCTTAATCGTTTCCTGTGATCAAACTAAGGAATCATGCCTACCGAAACAACGAAATGTTGAACCCAAAAGGAATCTCCGCACTAGTCCGCGGCTAATCATAAGAAAACTCAGTAAAAGCAATCAGAGAAAGGTATATTTCGATGCAACTTGCCTCGTAGGCTTCAGAGATTTGCTTGAACTTGGCCTCGGCCTCCTCTTCGTTACTTGGGTTCTTGTCCGGGTGCCATCGAATCGCCAGCCTCCGGTAAGACTTCTTGAGATCCTCATCGGTGGCACTTCGATTCACCTTCAGTATGTCGTAGTAATCGAACCCCATGTCGATCCAAACACCGAACAAGCCTATGAACAGCCCATAATTCTCATCGACTCGAGCAAAAACCAAATTCGATCACCACCACCACCACCTATAATACCATGGCTCCCATCTTGCAAAGATTCGACCTTTCACCCACCACCAACCGGATCGACACCAACTAATTCTTGGAGAAAAAACGAAAGAGGCGTCAACTTCAATAATCCCTTCAAAACTCGGATGAAGAATTACCCGAAAGGAAACGAATCAACTATGAATTGAGAAAAGAAACGAATCAAATTCAAGCCATGATTCACAGGAAAGTAAGGGTATGGGGGAGAGAGAGAGAGAGAGAGAGATGCGGCAGAAGGCGAGGCCTCCGGCACTCGGCGGAGGAACGGAAAAACCCGTCCCGAGATTTGAATTATACGGAACGAAAACTATAAAACTATTATTTGAAGGATTACCGCCGCATATAAACAATATGCGGTCATAATTTTTCATCCACCGCCCGATCATTGTTTCACGAATATTAAAGCAACGACGGTTCACGCTTTGACTATCGTGCATGTATGTATCCAACGGTAGGCGAGGGCTATTCGCAGACCATTTCATCTGCGGTATTCGTTGCGATCTCGTTCCCCTCATTTAAAATCAAATATAAAGAAGTCGGAGGACCTTTTTAGAAAAAAATAAACGATGGTTATGCGAGCCACGAATAAGAAGCGATTTTGAATACCATCGGATAAATGGACTCGACGCAAACGCACCCACGCCTTACCCTGGCGAAGTTGACGCTATAAATAAATCGGCTGTTGGGTCCCATGACAACGTGTCGGCTTCGAGATGTGCATACGTCATAGAATAAAAATATATATCATCCCAAATTCTATCCACTCAATAATAACATAAAAAAAAAGATTTATATCCAAATCCAATGTGTTTAATAAATATGCAAGTCAAATCATATTAAGGATATGAACTCCAGTCATACAACCTAATCGACCAAATTGGCTCGAATCAAAATCTCGAAACTGAACGATTTAAAATCTAAACCTGCAAAATCGGAGATGTTCTTGCGAGACAAAGAGAAATTGTGCTTATATAGGGGTCAAACGAGGGGTCAAAGCTGTCGTATTTAGAATAACGAATGTTGACCCAAAAATAGTTGGGAGTTGTTGTTCATAAGATATACCACTTTATCGGTTCCCTCCTGTTTGATTCCCCAATCAAATTAAGCTATAGAGTTAAAGCCAACACACAATTAGGTAAATACTCGTAATAATATAACTATAAATATTCGTTTTTACGAAGGTTTATAGAAATAGGGAAGAGAGAGTCTCAATCCAGACGGGCGTATTTGTAAATATCAAAATTTATAAGGGTAAATACCGGTGAAAATATAACTCAAAAATATTCCGTCCCGTTCTGTGCTCCGGTCACGTCTTGGACACGCGTCGACAGATGACTCGTCGCGACACGCGTAATAGAATTCGGGCGGATACTCCCAAGTTTTTATGCGTCGCTCGGATCCCTGCGACCGCTCTCGTTTCCCATCGGTCGTCAGCCCTATCCATCCTTCGCCTTCTTTGCGAGCGATGGTCTAGTGTTCTTCGTTGAATTTATACCCTTGGTTCTATTCAGTTGTTCGGATCCGCATATTTAATCGCTCTGTAAGTTGTTATTACTTGTTTTTTTTGATCGATTTGTGTATTTCTGGATGCTGATGATGGGGAAAACGCAAGCTGGGGATTTTTGGTTGATTCGCAAGTGACGGATGATTTGTCGCTGAAATTGAGGTTTTTATAATCACTCTGTTTAGGAATTTGATTTTGGGTTGGTATTAGGGATCTGATGTGGTTTGGCATCGTTCATTCGGTCCAAACGAAGGCCCAGATGATATAAGTTGCGCATCTCGTAGTTTATATGCATGAGAATTTTCCTTGTTGCTTGATTTTGTTTTTTTTCTTTCTTGGAGAAATTGCAACTTTTGTTTCTCGAAGACCATGTTTCTACTGCTGGTTCTGCGGTTCGTTATTTAGACTTTTTTGTGTTCGGATTTGGTTATTATCTTCTTTTTGTCCTTCCGTAGAGACACTATCTTATCATGTAATTGTCGTGGCAGCTTCTTGGAAAATGATGAGGCTCGAAACTTATGCTGGATTTAGTTTCTTGGCTACCATTAGCGCGATCTACTATGCATTTAGCAGCAGAGGGCAGTTCTATCCTGCCCTGGTCTACCTCTCCACCTCGAAGATATGCTTTGTGCTTCTTTTGAACATGTGCCTGGTCATCATGTGCATAATGTGGCAGTTGGTCAAGCGTTTGTTTCTTGGCTCTCTCAGAGAAGCAGAAGTCGAAAGGCTCAATGAACAATCATGGAGGGAGGTCATGGATATACTATTTGCAATCACCATATTCCGGCAAGACTTTTCTGTTACTTTCCTAGCGATGGTTACAGCTCTTCTCTTGATCAAAGCCTTGCATTGGTTGGCCCAGAAGAGAGTCGAATATATTGAGACAACGCCCTCTGTTTCTCCGCTGTCCCATATGCGGATAGTTTCGTTCATGATTTTCCTCTTAATCCTCGACTGTCTTTTCTTGTACAATTCTTTGAGGTCTCTGATTCAAACTCGGCAAGCATCCGTCGCACTCTTCTTTTCATTTGAGTAAGTTAATCAAATCAGATATTGTCTGCAGCAAAAGCTTTACATACTTTGTTTACATTTCGCACTCATCTTTTCATTTTAGTAAGTTAATCAAATCAGATATTGTCTGCAGCAAAAGCTTTACATACTTTGTTTACATTTCGCACTCTTCTTTTCATTTGAGTTAGTTAATCAAATCAGATATTGTCTGCAGCAAAAGATTTACATACTTTGTTTGCATTTCTTTGCCGGCTTCTTTAATTTAATTATGCTGTATATTTAGTGCTTATTATAAACCAACACGATGACAACCTAGACCGAGTTGTGGCATGTTACGTTAAAGCCGAATAATTGAATTTTATTTCACATTTGATCTAAAATTTACAAGAGGATTCTTTTCTTATTACCTGTTGGCATATGTACAAATTATTGACTGTTAAGCCATGATAATATCTTATGCACTTACAAATCTTGTATGGTAACAAGCCTAAGTATCTATGTTGATTTGAAGCTTGAGTATGGAAAATCCCTGATAAAAGAATTATTTTAAATGGTCTTTTTGTACTCTGTTAAATGTGGATGAAGATTATGACCTGCAAGAATATGGTGAGGAGAATGATATCTTATGATATGGTTTCTTTCATCTTTGGGATGGGTGATATCTTACGATATCGTTTCTTACATCTTTGGGATGGCAATGTCACATATTTTGTGCAAGAAGTGACACGATAGAAAGGAATACCAAAGAAGACCCATTGTCACCAACAAGAAAGCTTGTGATGATCTGAGGAATGTTGTTGGGGGCACCTTCTAGTAAGATGAAGTGTTGGGAAATATCAACAAAGTAGAACATATATAGAGATAGAACTTAGAAGGGTTGTTGTTTTTGTTTGTAGTCTTTGGAACCTCATCACGTTCATTATGAAACAAATGAGATTCTCAATGATGGAATTAACTACACTAAAGCAGGTTTGCTCATACTATTTATTTTTCATCAATAAAGAAAACAAATGATTTGCTAATCACATTTAATAATGATTTTGATCTATACGGCGAAAGGAGAGGTTTTCCTTGAAATTTAAGGGTTGAGAAGTAGGACAAACTGAGGTTTAATTTCTTGTAATGCTTTATCATATAATGGAAATAACACCAGCAGTTCGAGAGCATACAGTAATAATACCTTCTGGAATGGTGATAGTTTTTCATGGTTTCAATTTTTACTAAGATGCAACTGAATTATTACCTGAATTCAAGGATCTGGAATGAATTTGTTGTTTTCCACTGAAAAAGTAGGGCAAAGCTTGACGACTGTTAAGTAAGCAGGTCACATTTTGTTAGAATCCTGCTATTATTTGAGTCTCGGTGAACTACATTTCAAACTGTTCGACAAATAGGCTTTAGTAAACTGCATGTTTTTCTCTTAAATTCATGCATCTTTTGATAAAATAGGGTTTCTATCCTATTAGAGATGTATAATCTTTGACTGATATTGGCTTTGTATCCGACTCATTTATCCATCCATATTCTAGCAACATCTTTTAGTAGCTGCCACAGAGAGTTCTATCTGTTGGTGACCAACAAACTGCCAGCTGTTTGAATTTTAAATTCAATTGAAATCTTGCATTTTGTTTGTGGCGTATGTACCTATGATTATTGTGATGGTATTCCAGATACACAATCCTAGCGACAACAACCGTATCTACATTTGTGAAGTATATTTTCTATGTAAGTGACATGCTTATGGAAGGCCAATGGGAGAGAAAGGCTGTTTATACATTTTATCTCGAGCTTGTACGGGACCTTCTTCACCTGTCTTTATACATATTTTTCTTCCTAGTCATCTTTCTGTAAGTACTTTCTTAAACTTAATTTCATGTATGACTGTGCTGGAGAACATATTTTTTAGTTCCCAACTCTAAGTTGACTAAAGCATTAAATAATTTGTCTCTTCTTTCTCACTGCACATAAATGACTCCATTACTTATCTGATCTGTTTTCACTTTTTTGTGATATTATTGTTTGCTTTTGTAGTTAACAGTGTTGAACATTTTTCCTCACACTGTTTATTTGTCTTACTTGCCCATAGAAACATTGGTCAAGGTTTACATTATGAACACTAACATGAAATACTTTTAAACCTCATCAGCATTGTCAATATACATGCTGATCATCATCAAACCCCAGTGTACATTGTATATGCCTTTGTCATTGCGTGGTGTAACATGCTGATCTTTTGGTTTTGTATCATAGGAATAATACTTTAGCAAGCACCTACAAACTGTGCAAGTAGCTTGATGGCACTGATTTGCATGGTCTGAGCATGTGATCAACTGTATATGATTTCAGTTGTGGTTCATTGGCATGCACCCATGAACTGCATGCTAATATTATGGTTGCATCCTAACTCTTTCTATTTGTGAATGTGGAAGTTAACATTATGATTGCCAAAAATTATCTTAGAACAAGTGCTTGAACTCTGGATGCGGCTGAAGGAGATCAATCTTACAAGTTCAGTAAATTGACTTACTGTACACAACTTAAGGAACTAATTAATTTTATCTATCTCTTCATTTTTCTTTTCATTTGTGTTTGCTTTTCGAAGGCAATCAATTCTATACTTTCAGCTACAACAAATTTGTGCTTGTTTACTATATTCAACTTGCTTTCATTTATGTGTTATGAAATCCTTGCTCATTCTAGGAGCAATGCAAAACACAACCTGGTTACTAAAAGGAATTTTGTGCATATGACTACTCTTCTGCTTTTCCCTAGAGTGCCATAACTAATATCAATTGTAACCAAGTTTTACTAAATCTATGTTGCTTTTTAGAAAGTACTTCTAACTTGCTTTTCATAAATGCTGTCATACAGTTGTTTTTTTGTGGTTGAATTGTACTTTTTTGTTGGTAATAGGAGTTATGGTATTCCATTGCACTTGATCCGTGAGCTGTATGAGACATTTCGCAGTTTCAGAATGCGTGTTGCTGATTATGTTCGTTATCGCAAAATTACATCAAATATGAATGAGCGTTTCCCTGATGCAACACAAGAAGAACTTAATGCGTAAGCAATTTACTCCACATATTCTTAAATTGTTTACAAAACTTTTTTGGCTATTTTTTCTTATTTAGTGCCTTCCATTACCTTAATACAGAACTGATGCAACATGCATTATATGTCGTGAGGAGATGGTTACAGCCAAGAAATTGCTATGTGGACATCTTTTCCATGTGCATTGTCTAAGGTCATGGCTAGAGCGACAACATACTTGCCCTACTTGCCGAGCTTTGGTTGTCCCTCCTGAAAATGGGCAAGTTGGATCAGCTAGGCATCATGGAACTCCATCAGAATCTAATCAACCTGGTAATGTTTCTGAGCTTGCTTGCCTCAGATATCCATGTTACTCTTTTACTTCCATGTACAAATTGAGCTGCATGCAACCATAAAAATGGTTCTTCTGAGAAGGAATGAAGTCATTTTATACTTTTTTTTTTCAGAACTTGAAGGACCAATGTTTTCTTTTCTTTTGCTTGTGATTTGACCGAAAAAGTGGACAAAGCATAATTGTAGACATAAACCACATGTGGACTAATTGCATACTTTATAGAGATTTGGCCTCTCATTGTAGGAGTAAGTCAAATTGCAGATGGATTGCTTCTTTGATTATGTCATGTCTCTTAGCAAAGGAATATGCCATATTACAGATGCAAGGCTGCTTTAAATATGCTGTATGTAGTTATCACTTTATGTTTGTCTGTTCAAAGTTCAAGCCATATTCACATCTGGTTTCCTATCTAAAAGTCCATTGGTCTTGGTATCTTTTGTATATTCTATAGACAATCAACTACTCTGTTCACTGGACCTTTTCTGAAGAATTATCAGCCAATCTGTTAAAATGATGACTTTGTGAATTTTGTAAATATTTGTCACTTTTGACGGTGAAAATAGTCCCCCACACCTTTCCACCTCCCCCTCGTCGTTCTGCTAGGCTATTTCTTTATTTTCAGGGGAGCATGCATCTGAGTTACCTAATTTAAACTGGATTCCTACCAATAATTGTTGAGATATTAGTCATAATGTGGGCAGCAACAATTAAGTGAACTTTTTTTTTGTTTCCAAGTCTTAGGTAAGAATTTTCACCTTTTTTTTATTTGACCAACCATTTTTAGCAACTTGCTCACCCATCTGCAATGATAATTGAAAAGGGCAACCATGAATGATAAATAGTAGGTATTAATGTCCATTATCTGATAATTATTTGACTATTTAAGCATCCAATCAGTGCACGATTGACTCCAAACTGCTGGATTAGTACAGTTCAAACAGAACTAGATCCACCCTTACAAAAAATAAAACTAGATTAAAAGGACAATTTCAATTCTTAGTTTGCAGCTGATACAGTTGGAGTTGACATGTATTTTTTATCTAATCATGACCATTAGTTGCATGACAAGTATGGTGCTTTTACTAACTTCCTTATTTTATTGTTGTTAACAGACATGAACCATCTCCTAGATTGTATTATTCTCATGGAAAAAGTTACATTGCTAGTACTTATTTTTAAGTTCACCAGGTGTGATTTTTGCCGCTATTGCTTTGGTGGTGCTTAGTTGACCTGTGGTTATCTTATTCTCATTGTAGTTGGATCAGCAACGGAAGGCACATCATCACAAGGTCCCAGTGATGGTGCAGGAGGTGCTAATCTAAGCCGGCATCAGGCAAGGCTTCAAGCTGCTGCCATGGCTGCTTCCTTATATGAGAAATCATTTAGTTATCTTCCAGCAAGTTCCTTCTGGTATGCATCTACGAACCAGCTTAAAGCCAGTGGAATCATGTGTTTGCCTTCAATCAGAATATATGCAATATTAGACAGAATCTTCTGTAGTAGTACCTCTATTAAGCAATCCTAGATGCTTGCGTTTAAATTACAATAAGTGCTAACATTGAAATGTTCTCACAAGAAGTTATTTTACTAGTTTGTAGGAAATTAGCAAGTTCCTTCTGGTATGCATCTACGAACCAGCTTAAAGCCAGTGGAATCATGTGTTTGCCTTCAATCAGAATATATGCAATATTAGACAGAATCTTCTGTAGTAGTACCTCTATTAAGCAATCCTAGATGCTTGCGTTTAAATTACAATAAGTGCTAACTTTGAAATGTTCTCACAAGAAGTTATTTTACTAGTTTGTAGGAAATTAGGGTAATGCATCTGTTTTTGTTCTACGTGATTATACAAACTAGTGACATGTTTTATGTGATAATTGTGAAACTGATTTGAGTATATTAACAAAGTAATACTTTGCTACGTTGCTTGGAACTAGTAATATCAGAATTAATAAACATAATCATAGTATTTTGAGAAAACAACCGTGGTCAAGCGAGACCCCTAAAATGGATGGTATTGCCTGAAATTTGGTCCTACCAAATATTAATTTCATCAAGCTAGATCCAAATTTAGCACCATTATTCTAGAACCATAACTAATTAGAATTCATGAGTTGTCTTGATTAACATGCCATTAATGTAAATTCAGTTTAATCAAATTATATTTTTCTGGAGAGAAGAATGTTCTTGGTTGTGGTATGGGTGCATGTATATGTTTTGCCAGTTAGTTTGGTTTGTTTTACATGAGCTCTGGGCCTGTTGGTTCAATATTCTTTGATTTTATGCTTTAAATTGACTACGTCCATCCATTATTACATTAGTTTAAGATATTGTATTCTTGTTGTATCCTTTGAGATACATATTCTGTGGAAAAGTTTATTAGTAATGCAACAATTGTAGTGTTTCTTTCATTAATTGAATATACATGAATGCACAGTTGAAAATTAGCACACCTTGTAATTTGTTAAGCAACTTGTGAGAAAATTTTGGTCAAGAAAGGTATGTGTGCATGTAGAAAAAATAAACATGACAATGGAGAAAATGCAAATAATAGGTTAAGAATATGGAAGCTAAGAATTTAAGACCTCTGTTGGTTTTAGCGCTATGAGGATAATCAATTCAACAATTTGACACTTGATGGCCCATGTATTTGTTCTACCAAAAACATGGCTTCCTTCCCATGCAATTTTAAGTTCATACAATAAAATGTGCTGGCTTACATAGGCATAGTCTACTTGGTTGTTTGCTCCTGGACAAAGCTTGCCTTGTTTCAGATGCACGATATTGAGTGGGTCAAGATCCTCTTTCCCTCAATATGGGTCCATTGCAGGTTCCATCTGTCCATATGGGTGGCACCACTCCAGTGAATAGGTGGAATGAACTGAAACGAAAATGGCAGATCGGGGAGGATCCTATACCATTTAAAGTGGCGTATATGTGAACTTTTGAGGGATTCTATTCAGAAAGTCTTTTATTTCAGCATTTCATGGCAGTTGAATAGCTCAGGAGATTATACTTATTATATGCTTTCAGGCCTTCAGGTTATGCATCAAATCACATGGAAAATCCTCATTTGGAGGCATTTAGTGGGGTGATGAAACAGCCTACCGGAGAAGCAGTGGCTTCTGGGCCATCGCTGCAATTCAACACACATCCTAGATCTATTCCTTTTCTGGCTTCTGATTCCAGCATTGCCTCCAGCCAGACATCCTCCAGCAATCAAGATGTGCAGCTTTCGCTATTGAAGGCACATGAAGATGTTATCCGTAGCCAGATTCAGGTATATTTACATTCTGGGATTCGCTACATAGTCCAACAACTTTGATGTTCTACAACTTGAGCTTACTCCCAACATGAAAAAAAAAGGGTCATAGCATGTATCCTGTATTGCTCTTCAACATTTTTTTGCTGATGCAACACAATCCTATATCAAAAGATGTGGCAACCACACCATTAGGTTTGTGTCACCGCTGGAAGAATTTTCTATTATAGTGCAGAACTATATCATGCCATGAACTTAACTAGTTGGTTTTATTGTAGAAATACAATATGCAAAAATCTGCAGTAGTTTTTTGTTTTTGTCGCTTAGATAATTATATGATTGCTCGTAACGGTTTTAAAACCTTCTCTTCGTTGGACATTTTGCCAGTTTCTACAGACACAGTTGCAGGCTTTAGAGCAGCAGGCGGCATACCAGTCTGAGACGTCATCCGGAGATGTAGTTCCTGCCGTCGCTGATCTAAAGGGAAAATCGGTCATCACATCTGATGCTGCCACATCTAAACCTGATGGTGCTCATCAAGAGGAGTCTGAAAAAGTTTAAGACCTATCAAGACTCTGTAGGTCAAGAAAGGGGTGAGGGTGAAATTTCACAATGTTCATTCACTAATTGTACGATACTCAGCATTTACCAGATGATAGATAAGTACATCTGAACTGTGTTGTGCATGACTAGCTTCGCTGGTTTTGGTGCTTTCTGTAACCAAAATTTGTTGATAATGCCCAATGCTAATAGTTGCTCCTCTCGGTTAAGCCGATTTAATCACTGCATATGAAGTGTTTGTTAACGTAAATTTGATGACTGTATCTCTATTCTTTCTATAGTTTTTGGGAGCAAATATTCCTTCTAGACTCGTGGCTGTTCGTGTGGTCGGTAGTAACTGCTGTAGCAAGCCACAGGCGATGTTCGAGTATCTCTTCAGTGGTTTCATTACCCAGAGTAAATGTATGTGAGCCGATGTTAAGCAGTGTTATAGGACTCAATCCATTAGGATGCAGACCGCAGTTGATTAACTCTGCTTTCCATTTGCGGCGACAGACCTCATAATAATTTTGGTAAATGTTAGGTGATATATACATCACAGAATTTTACGACCATTTTTTTCTTAGATTACTTTGTATATATATATAT